ATAAACCTAAAAACAGTGGTACTCTGCATACGCAACAGACCCAAACCCTAAAAGCCCTAAGAACCCTGCACCGAAATTCTAAACAAACCCTAAAACACGCACCTCAACGGAGTGATCGGACTCCTCGCCCTGTCTCTCGGCGATAGCGCAGAGCTCTTCCATAGCCGTCGTAGGTTGACGCTGCCGATAGTCTTTCTCGGCCTTCTCCTTGTCTCTCTTGACATGCGAACCCCATCGGACATCAGGTGCCGGGCTACTATTCTTGGGCGTGTGTGTGTGTGCGGGGGGTGATGTATGTGTGTGTGTGGGTGTGTGTGTGTGTGTGTGTGTGTGTGTACGTGTGTGTGTTGTGCCGTTCAGCATGTATACGCGGCGTTTGATGAGTCCGTCGTCGCTCTCGTCCGTGAAGCCCTCGTCGGAGGCGACGAACCCGCTCATATCATTGGCTAGTGGTTAAAAGGTCAAAATGTTAAATTTGAGCTGGGCAGAAGATACATCGGGTATGACAGCGAAGAAGGCATCTAAATTGTATTCGAATGGATATATGCGCACGATGTATCGGAACCATTGCACAGGCGAGTTATATATACCTGAGATACTTCGTGGTCATATGTATGGAAGGGAAGTGTTAGTTCCAGATATGTAAGGAAATGATTTAACGGCCACTCTACCGATAGAATCATAACAATAAAACTGCAAACACACGTACTACAACAGATATCTTTGTCTGCCAATTCCTCAGGTAAACACACGTACTACTACACATACCTCTGTCTGCCAATTCCCTACATAAACACACGTACTACAACAGATATCTCTGTCTGCCAATTCCTCAGGTAAACACACGTACTACAACAGATACCTCTGTCTGCCAATTCCTCAGGTAAACACACGTACTACAACAGATACCTTTGTCTGCCAATTCCTCAGGTAAACACACGTACTACAACAGATACCTTTGTCTGCCAATTCCTCAGGTAAACACTCGTATTAAAACACATACCTTTGTCTGCCAATTCCTTAGGTAAACACTCGTATTACAACACATACCTTTGTCTGCCAATTCTTTAGCCCGGGCCGCGGCTTCTATCCGTTTCTTCAGTTGAAGCTCTCTCAGAGCCCTTTCCTCATGACTGATCATTTCCAGCTGCTCAGCACACAGCTCGTTTCTGAGTGCGGGTAGGGGCTTATTTGTTAGTGCAAT